GATCAGGATCAGGATCCTGAACTAAACTTACAGGAATGTCAGTTGGAGTCGTAAACTCGACATCCATCTCCTCTATAGACTCACCCTCAGAGAGTATCTGGGAAAAGAAGGTCAATCATTGCAGAACCCCGCATTACCGTGACGAGAGGACGCCCGGTATTTTGAAAGTTCCGTAGAGACAGCTGATAGGCTCAGTGTCATTCATTCTTTCGGCATGGATACACACATCTTAGTTAGGATTAAGCCATCGTTGAGATGCTATTCAGTTAGGGAATAACAGTGATTCTGTCATTCCTGTATCCAGCGGGGCTACGTGGAAGCAGGTATCCGATGGCCGCCAAAAACGGCATGCACAGTGGTTAAGGTAGTGAAAGATGAACAAGGACAGCCAATCGTAATGTACAATAATATCCGTATAGGACGGTTTGTGATGAATTGAAAAATCATGTTTGTTGTTCATTCTACTGATTGCTAAGTCCAAAAAATTTATTGACTTGTCTGCTTCTACTTCAATAGTGAATTTAATGTTCTCATGAATTTTGTTAATATCCTTATGAAAAGTATCTAATTGTCTCTTAGTAAAAACATACCGATACCAATCAACATCAAAGGATATTTAAAAATCGGCTTCTCTAGATAATATGATTCAGGTAATCATAATTGAAGAGGTACCTCAGATATATAAAAATTGCAGAAGTTCAGGTAATTTGATGTTGTTTATAAAATTACTATGGATCTTCATCGAGTAATGACCGAATCAATCAGAAAAAAAAATACATGAATAGAACTTCGAATTGCTCCTACATCCGCCGTGTTCGCCAGATTTAGCTCCTAGTGACTACTAGCTGTTCGCAGACCTCAAGGAAATAATCAACGGTAAGAAATTTTGTTCGAATGAAGAGGTTGTTGCTGAAATTTAGGCCTATTTTGAGGCAATAAATAAATCGGTCCTCAAAAGTGATACTGAAATGTTATAGCGGCTTTTGATAGGGATGAAGTTGATGAAAAAAGCTAATCTTGAATAAAAAACGTTTTTTTTCCCAGACCCGGTACTTTTTAGCCCATGTGTTTATAAAGCCAAATCCTTCCTTTCCCAGAACTTAATATCTCCTAAAAATATACTCCTTCCAATTCAGAAAGAGTAATTTATCTCAGAGCGAATTAAACTACAATAAGGAACCTTTAAAGTTGGTAGATGACTCTTTCAGTTCTGTGAACATAACCAAGTTCTCTGGAATAAGCTACTTTGGATGTGTTTTTCGAACCACAGTTTTGTGATCGAAGTATCTTCCACCACCACGACTCAATTCAAAGACAAACGGTTCATCTAATATTCGAGAGTAATGGAAAAATGAAAACGAGTAAACAAAATGGCAGCAATTGAAGTCGAACACCAATTTGTCTATTCCATTTGCCTGAATTTGCTTCAAATAAAGTCAAAACATCTTCCAGAGTTGATAATACGGCAAATCTTATGATCATCAGCAAAATCTAGGCACTTAAATTCGGATAATTATTCCACAGTATCACTTATAAACGAGTTAGAAACCAGAGGCCCGCAATGACTTCCCCGAGGGACCCCGGCATACACTGTCACAGGTTTTGATAAACCAATTATTGATCTTTCTCCTTGGGTCACATGTATTAGTTAACCACCCAATCAATGGAGAACACACTCTGAACATCCGATGGATTCAAGTTTCCTGACACTTTTTTTCGCACTAAAAAATCATTTACTCACTGAGAAGAAATTCTGATGTATTCCACTGGGAAACAAAAGCGCATCAAACGCGAGCGTCGGCCTTTAGGGCCTGGCCTACTGCGAAACCGAGACCGGTGAAAGACTAAATTGCTTGAACAGTTTTTTCAATCTTCCGCCATTCCAGCCAGCCGAGTTTGCATTAAAAAAAGCATTAATTATTCTGTAGGTGCGAGAAATAACAATAGCGAATCCGTAATGATTATTCGGTACAGTCTTGCGGTACAACAAATAGTTTTCGTGTACGAGGGGAAGAGGAAAAAATGATGAAGGCTGATTTGGATTTACTGATATATTCACAACTGATTCAGACTGGAGAGGTTTTTTTCTTCTCGCTACGAACTGCCTTATAATAATAATAATGATTTTATTCCTTTGAAATGATCATTTAACAATGACATAGGAAACGTCAAGTAAAAAAAAACATGTAGATGTATAATACGGAGTTAATAAATAATTCTTCATTCATAACATTTTTAAGCTGTACCAATGCGTAAAAACTGGTGTTGATTCTCTTGCAAACATAATTTATGTGAACTTGCCAACTTAACCCAGAATCTATATGAAGTCCTGAAAATTTTGTGATTTCCGACGGATAGATAGTGACATTATTTACATCAACCTGTATAGACTTTAAGTGTCTTCGGTTGAAGATTTGAACTAACACCGTTTTGTCGGCATTGACTATAAGTTTATTTGTTTGACACCATTTCGTAAATTTACGACTTATTGTGTTCAGTTTCAACTGCAGTTCCGCAGGACTATCAGCTCCTTCTGAGACTGCAGTATCATCGGCAAAAATTGATAGTGATTTTGTACCTAGATGTTGGAGGTGAATCATTGATATAAATCAGAAAAATCAGTGGTCCCAAAACTGAGCCCTGTGGAACTCCAATGTCTACGTTGAATGTAACAGAGTTCGTATCATCCCATGTCACATATAATTTCCTGAACTTCATGATGATAAATTTGTGTTTCAGTACTGGAGTATTTCCGGAATCATTGAAAATCGCCAGGGTAATTGCCATTTTAAAAAAAAGGAGACCCCTCGATCCAGGGCAATTATCGACCAATATCATTAATTCCGATTAATGGGAAAGTTTTTGAAATCTTGATTAAAAATCGCTTGATAGTTTTCTTTGAAAAATACTCCCTTATACACAAATTCCAGTTCGGGTTCAGAAAAAATCGGAGCAGTTTACACTGTGGTAAAAAATGTAGTCCAGAGTTTTGAAGAAGGCCTTTGACTGCGTTTCCCATGATCTACTGATAAAAAAGCTGGAGCACTGTGGTATAAGAGGGCTAACATTGAAACTATTGAAATCTCACCTAACTGACAGATATATATGCGTCTCAGATGGTACGAGACGTTCCCAAGTGGAAAAAATTAATCATGGCGTTCCGCAAGGGTCGGTTTTAGGGCCCCTTCTTTTTATCATCTATATAAATGATCTTTTCTATCAATTTTTGTCTAATAAAATAGTTATGTATGCTGATGACGCTACCATACTTAACACCGACCGTGTTCTACACAATCTCTACTAAGGAACTGACTTGCTATAAATGTATCTTTGTACATAATGTAGTAAAATAGACATCTATCTATCTACCTATTGCATATAATTTGTTTATAAGTGTATCAAAACCTATGGAGTCGAATGCTTTGGATAAGTCGAAGAAAAGCGCAGCTACAAATTTACCTTTGTCAAAACCACTATAAATATGCTCAAGAAAAGTTGCAGCCGCTCCTTTCGTCGACTTATTGGGGCAGTTTCCATGTTGATAGCTACTGATTATATTGTGTTTCACCATAAAACTGTTCTGTTCTGTACTGTTCTCGAGTATAGGGGGCTGGAACCTCCGGGAAAAGGAAATATTAACAACTGATCAAAAACACCTACAGGTTCTGGTGCAGGTGCTTTCAGTCGCAGAACCAAGACAGATATATCAACCTGCCTAGAGAGAGATTGGTAGAATCCAGCCTCATATATTCAATAAAAATATTCTTGGACAGTCAATCGGCGTTGGAAGTTCTTGGCTCCCCCAAGCAACGTCTAAATTGGTAGCAAGTTGCCAAAACTGCTCTCCTCAATAGGAAGACTCAACAAATTGTCTCTGGTCTGGATTCCTAGCTACACTGGCCTGGAAAGCAATGAGGTTGCTGACTCCCTTGCAAAGAATGGTGTTGCAAGCAGCTTCATCGAACCAGAACCTATCATTGGTATCGCTTTAGGCTTTGCTAAACAAACTTTGAACACCTGGATGGCAAAAATATTTATGAACTTCTGGCAGAGTCTTCCTTGATTGGTTCACTCCAAGGCGTTTATTCACCTTTCCAAGCTTGACACCAAACAGTAGGGAAGAACTACGATGTCTAAGAGGCCTTCTTACGTGTCACTGTCATTTGAATCATCATATGTAGAGACTTGCACTGTCGAAAGACAGTTTTCTGAGTTTGGCAGAGCCGACCTGAAAGATCCCTCACCATACAATCAAGTGTGATTATCCACAGAACAAAAATTGTTGAATAAACAAGTGAATAACGTATTCTAAAACCCTCATTTCGTTACAAAAAGAGGGCCTGTTACATTAAGGGTGCTAAATGGGGTTAAGTTTCCTTTCAAAACAGCTATTAACTTCTAAAATAGGTGCATACAATAAATCATGGTTTTGTTCATAATAAAACAAACTTACGTTTCCACAAACTCGATTCTGAAAGCACCCTTGCGTTGAATATTGATGTGACAACTGAAGGAAAATTCGTAGACATACGAAAATTCAATCAGTAAGTAATTCCTCGTTTACAGGAGGCAGGCACGCGAATCCTGCTCATTTCTCGTCTATTTTCCCGCGAATATAAACAACTTCGAAGCAGGTTGCAAGAAAATCGATAAGGAGACGTAAATAAATCTGGGAGAGGTTATATTGCTAAGTGATGAGTGCTTCGTACAGGGAAAATTCAATATATCACAAAAAACAATTCGGAGTTTTGTACGAAAGAAAACTGGTGAGACTATTAGATCAGACGAATTTGAGCTACAATCTAATCTTGAAGGAAATGCCACACTACAGACAGATGAGCATATAGACAGATGAAATTTTTCACTTTTTTCACCTGTCTCGGCAAATACATAAGTTTGGGTTCGCTTTGGGAACTCCAGTAGGCTAGTGCTAACGATCATAGCTCAAACACTCAAAGTTGATTATTGTTAAGTTTACTGAGAATTCTTCATCGACTCACCTGGATCTAGACTTCTTGCATAGTGCCCCTTTGGTGGCGGTATTGGAGGTTCTGGGTCTAACAAATACGTAAAAATGCAGGATGAAATGCATAATATTTTTTTCGAGGAGCATATAAACTAACTCTTCTTCTACCACCACTACCACAAAGAACAAAAACAATAACAGAATATCATGCTACGAACGACTCAAATGAAAGAATTTGAACCTTCCTACTGTCGGTAACGGTGCCAAGAATCTACCATTCCGTGTGTTCTTAGCCTAAATACAACACCTTTAAAGGAAACCGTCGGTTTCGAGCAAAAACTCCACCCATTTTTGTACCTTGCCACGTCTTTCGGCCGGTATCGGGCAACGGGTTCGTGAATCTTCGGATCATACTTCTGATTTTGGAAAAAATCCGCAGACCGATGTTTCTGGTGGACATGTTTGAGAATGGAAGGGGATTTCTTTGTTTTAGGTGGTGGGGAGATGGATTTGGGTCTAGCTCTATCTCTGCGTACTAGAGAGGTATCTCTAGAAGCCACAGAATGCTCGGGAGACGAAAGGGATCTTGTATTATCCTCCAACTTAGGATAACGATGGGCTGTCCAATCAGCTGTGAGATAAGGAGCAATATCTTTCAGTTCCCGAATGCTGGGAGAGGAGGTGTACATATGCCCCACCAAAGAAATATCATCCTGACTATCATACTTTTCTTTCAGCTTCTCCACTTCACCAACTGGACACCCGAGTATCTCTGCTAACTCTTCAACGCTCCTTCTGATGTGTCCCTCGCCCTTTGCTCCTTTTTTGGTGTACAAACTCGCTATCTTGCTGATGATATTGATATGTGGCATGAATCTGTCTTCAGCCCTCAAAAAGAGGGGGGAAACGACACCCCCTCTTCTCGTACGGCTTCTCCCCCTCCCCGAGTATGCGGGGTACTCGTACTTTCTCCTCAAACTGTCAACATAGCCTACGTTGATGTCGGGGTAGATTCTATGCAGATCAGATTCGCTTCTGGATCGTTTGAGGGTACTTCCTCCAAAAATATCTTCTATGTATTCAAATCTATGCTTGAGACGACTCACTTCACCAGTCATTCCTGAAGATTGCTTTTCATAAGGGGAAATGGACCTGCTTCTACAAAGACTGTCATTGCTAGTTGTTGCTGATAGCTCTGATCTCAAGGGGCTCATATCTGTGGCGCGCAACTCAGGCTTTTTGGGTGTGAACTTTTGCTTCCTCGTAGCTGAAAGCGGTATGGTGGCGAACTTAACAAGATCCTTTTCACCAAAGTAATCCTTGAGGCTCTGACATGACTTGGATTGGAATAACTTGGATTTTTCTCCGGGTACTTCAGCTTTCTCCTCACATTGAGGCTCAGAAATATCGTAGGTGTCAGCAGGCTTGTATATGGTTGGAGTGTAAGCTTCCAGCTCTTTAGCTTTTTCAAAATACTCCACTTTCTTCTTGATCTCATCACTCTTATCTGCGCAGATAACAGTTCTAGTACTTTCGTCGGTACTCCCACTCTCAGTTTCACTTGTGGAAGATACTTTTCTGTTACTTAAAGCGTCGCTTTTCACCAGAGCTTTCGCAGGTAGCTCAGTTTTCACTTTAGCATCTGCAGCAGCTACAGCGCCTAATATTTCCCTTCCAACAACTACGGGTAAGGCGGATTTATTCTCTCTGCGGTAACTTCCCAACTTCTGCAGCAGTTCTTTACTCAAACTCTGAGAGATTATCTTCTTGTCGTCTTCAGACATGTCAGAGCTTTTCGACACTGGTGCTTTGAACATCTGCTCGGAGGAATCTGAGTTTCTCCGCACTGTAAGGGTTGGAACATAAGTCAACTTGTTGTCTTTAGGTACATCGATGGAGCAATCTTCTTTCTCTTTGGGAACGTTGTTGTATATCTCAGCAAGCTGTTCCTTCAGGATGTTTACCTGCTCCATAGACAAGCTGCTCCAGATTCTGCTACCGATTCCGTGAGTTAGCAGCTTCTCTGAATCCAACAGCCTCTGCCTTGCCGTCTTGATTCTACCCTCAGACTGTGATCGGCGTTCTACTATGGTATTTGCTATGTCCACCACGGAAGTTCCTCGCCACAGAGGTTTGTAGGTATCTTTCAGAGAGGAGAGTTCCCTGCGTTTGGAGTTCTCCCGTTCCGATTCTTCTTCTTTTATCTTTTCGAATTCTTCCTTGATATCCTCAACAGACTTCTCTTTGATTCTCAGCCCTCTGTCGAACTCCCTCTTCCATTTGTATTTGGCAACATCTTTGGGTAGGTACAGGAATCCCTTTTCCTTCTCCTCCGCCCTTATTTGGTTATACAGCAACCCCAACTCTCGTTCAGCTCGTTCCCTGGTTCGGACTTCTCTCCATCTCTCAAAATCTATGATCTCGCCCTCACATCTCTTTCTGGGCTTCAAACTGCAGGAGCGTTCAAGTTTCCCTACCTTCTCTATTTCAGAGTAGAACTGGTTCAGGTCTTTGAACTTGCCACTTTGCTTACCAGACTGGACAAGATCATGGAAATACTTTTGATAATCCTCGCTCTTCAAAGAGTCCAAAGACGTGGTGCTGTGGTTCAAGTTTGGACACATATACAAGCTGTATTCGGGCGGTTTTTTGTCCAGCTGGAGGTGCTTGAACTGCATGATTTTCCGGCAAGACGGAGATCTGCACAGCTTAGGAGACGGGGGAGGAGATACTAGTTTTTTGCGTTGCACCAAGGGAGACACCGGTCTGCTAGTCTGTGAAAATATTAGCTTGGGGGGTAAACTTGCACTGCGCTTAGTCGGAGCTGTATCTTTTGGCTTGGCGCTCTGGCCGAAGCTCACTGATTTTGGACTGACAGATCTGGAGCGTATCGTGGCCATATCCAGACTGATGAATTTGGAATCGGTTACGGGTTTTGTATGTTTCAGGTACACTTTCATGGCGCTGATGCTGGGTTCCGAGAAAGACGATCTTCTGGCAAGTTGGTTGGTTTTCTCGACTATCCAAGAGTTTCTGCTAATGTTAGAGGGAGTTGGAGATACATCTCTAAGGAGAAGATGTTGGAAAAAGTGGTCACTTTGGATGGCGCTTCTATGTTTTCTGAGGTCACTCAGGGTAGAGGCACTGTAATTCTGATGTTTGCTTACGGTTGTTTTACTGGTTGCTGTTATCGATTTATCTAAAAGCACATCCTTTTTATGGATATTTTTATCTTTTTTTATTTCATCGTTTATTTTTTCTTTCTTCGCCTTGTCTCCTTTAACTATAATATCAGCTTTAACGGAGGGTTTAACGATGTCTTTGCCTTTTCTAGCCATTCTGGGTGAGCTTAGAGATTCCTGGGATGACTTGATGACTTTTGACCTCTCAGAAGACGTAGAAAGACTCGGAGATAATCTTTTTGGAAGCTTCGGAGAAGAAGGAGTGCTGGTTTTACCCTTGACAGCCTCTTTACCTTTGACATTTCTACCTGAAGCTACCAGTGGGTTAGATTTCTTGTAATGCGCACCAGCAGGGAGAGTCATCGTTGCTTTCTTCACCTCTGTGGGGGATAAGAGATCTGGTGACTTAGCGAGTTTACTAGCCCTTATATTCAGGTTGAACTTACGTTTCTCTGACGCAAAAGTTTTGGGTACTACCTTCACCAAATTCAAGCTTTCCACTGAAGAGCTAGGACTTTTCCTAGGCGTGGACAACTTGGCAAGATTCCTCACAGAGTCAGTGGACTTAGATCTGCCTATGGCGCTATGAACATTCGTCTTGCTCTGGATATTTCTCGAGGATGACCTACCATCCCTGGAAGTAGTTACGCTCGAAGTTATTCTGCCTTTCATGTCAGAAGTGGTAGTGATTTTCTTAGAAATGCTCATCTTCGGGCTGGAGCTGCGTTTACTCAGAGTTGGTGAGAGCTTGCAAGTTATTTTGTCCTTGAGATATTTGACGTTTGATTTATCGGTGCTGGAAGAAGTGGTGAAGCACGTCTCGTGTCTTTTGCAAACGGGAGACTTGTCGGACTTGATCTTCATCGTGGAAACGAATCTCAAAGTGGGGTTATTTCTGGAAGATCGTCTTCTAGGAGGGGAAGGGGGTGGAATTGGAGGCGGGGCAGGTATGGCAAAGGATGGACCGGTTCTTTTGTAGTCTAAAGAGGAGCCTTGAGAATGATGGACTGTAACGGGGTAGCAGAGTATTTCCTTCTGCGGTTTGATATTTTTGTGAATTCTTACTCGCGTTAGGGTGGGGGAAATCGGGAAAAACTCCACAAAGTCCGTTTCTGCGAAAAATTCGAAAATTAGTTTGTATACCAGTCGTTAATGAACTGTGCTCAAGTGATCTGGAAAAGAATATGTGTCTAGTGTTGATGAGGAAGAAATGCATGTAGGGAAGCTCAAATACTTCAGCGGTTAATGGATGAGCTCAAGCTTGAAGTTAACAAACCTGTTTTTAGTAGAAATCCACCACCTTTGGCGAAAGGAGACTGACTCTTGCCTCCATTGTTTGTAGTTGGCTTTAGTAAGAGAAATATCATGCTTTACCTCCACCTTATCTGTTTTAGTATATTTGAGTCAGTAGAGGCCGGTTGATTCAGCTTCAAACTCACCTTTTGGTCTTTCCGGTGCAAGCTTTCTCAAACCTTTAAGTGGTACATCGCCTCCTTTCTGAATCACCTTATACGCCTCCTTCTGTTCCTTGGGACTGAGTTGGAGGTCGCCTTTTTCTTTCCTCCTGAATACTAGAGTTGAGTCGCTTTCGTAACCAGATTCCTTCAGTGCCCTTGGAGTAAAAACCAATTGAATAATGATGTCAAGAAGGGATAAGTAACTTACTGGTTGATGAAACTTCTGGGGTGGGGTTGCATCCGTTTTTGTTGCTCCAGGTGCTGTAAATGAAATGAGGTATGAATGTCAGTCTAGGTTTGGTTGAGTGGTTAGTGGGTTGTGTATCGATTCATGCAGTAGTGTTGCCATAAAAGAAAGTCCCGAAACGTCGACCATGCTGGAAAACATGCTATACACCATGATAGTGTTGTAGTGTGCTTGTGGGTAATGTACCTGCTCAAAAAATCAGAACATTGGGTTGGGAATCAAAGTTTCTGAAGTTTTGTTTGGGTACGGAGTTAGTGGAGAGATTTGGGAGAGGAAACATGAATTCGAAGCATGCTCTTTTGCCTTACGGATCTTGAGAGAGCTGTGGCGAACATGGCTTCGTAACTTGGCAAAGCGGAGTTATCATCCAGCCACTTTTTGCGAAAAAAAATAGTGTTAGTACAGAAATAACCGTGACCCAATTCAGTTAGAAAATAGTGTCCAACAAGTATGGTTTTATTAAAAATAGTATTTGAGCTGTGGACCCGACTCTCAATCATACATTTTGGACACTACATACTTGGAAAGTAGGTTTTGAACAAGAATGAAACCTGTTTCATTGCAGAAATCATCATGGAGCAATTGAAAGGGGTTTCTGTTTGTCTTTCATAGAATCCTTCTCAAACAACACGTGAGAGGCTCTAAGTTGGAGCTTTGTGTAACCCTATGAGTTGGTACCACATTGCTATGAGATTCACTTTTATATGTTATTGATATTATTCAATAACTGTTTTCGTATACTTTACTTAGTACTGCTTTGAGAAGGATCTATTTTCAGTGAAAATTTTAGTATCAGTGAAAAAAAAATCGTGAAATCTATTCAAAATATCGTACCCCGTCGAATATATCCATAACTTCGTCCCACCACTAAAAAAATGAGAAACAAAAATGAAGGATTACTAAAACATGTATCCAATTATAAACATGATAAAATATCACTACCATTCCTAGTATACAGTTTCTAGATATGTGTGAACTACTATAAGCATAACATAGGTTAAGTTTGTTAAAATTCACACTTTTGTACGACAAGTTGCATACACATAAACATTAGCAACACAGCATATTTGCAGATGTTTTTATGGTGCCTAAAAACTTTTAATCCATTATATTGTACATTTAAGTTAGTTGGTTAGATTTGAGAGGATTTGTCATTTTGGTAACGTTTTGAAAAATCTCCAGATTGTTTTACACGAATCAAGGTCCCTGCTGATTTCTAAATTCTAATGAGATTACAGTTGATGATATTATGTTTTGAGGTGACCATTTGGGAATTATTAGAATCAACGAAATATGTTTTTTCTGTGACGGGAAAAAAGTTTGACATTTTATCTCTGATGACAGGCAACAAAATGTCACTTTTCATGAAACTATTTTTTTCACCGGTCCCCGTGAAAAAAGTGAGTACTTTTTTCACGGATATATATTTATATGTACACACATCGGAAAAGTCTAGGGATATTTTTAAAAATGGCAATAATTTTTTTAAGATCGCTTTAGGGAAAAAAAGTTGACGGGTGATTATTTATACATGTTGTGTATTTTGTTATTAATAAATTAGTTTTGTTTATTACCCTTTGATCGTTTAATGCAGGTACTAACTACAAAATAACAATAAATCCAGTTCGCATTTATGACGATGTATCTCTGTAGTTGTTCGTAAAATAATTTTTTGCTGCGAACTGGTTTATTTTGGGCAGAAAATACAAGAGACATTTTTTGTTAAGAATGAAACAGGCTATCGGAAATAAATTTTTAAATGGTAAACAAATAATAAGACAAAAAGTTACATTGGAGATAAATTTTAAGGGTTGCGTTTTTCACTCCTTATAACAATGGGGTAAACCAAATAAATCACTAAGTGTCTTTTTGGTAGTACAAAACGTCAGGTTGATTTCAATATTTTAACTTTTTTAGTGCTTGTGAAAAAAATTGTTATACAAATTTTATGTACCCCCTTTAAGGGGCTGTATCTTGACAAGGGATGCTCCAATGAAATTTCTTTATATGAAAGATCCTATCTTTTTCCGATGAGGAATCACCTCCTTAAATGTTTAACACTTATTCAGTTACACCCTGTATAGATATACACATAAGTAAAGGTAGAAATTAAATTTTCCAATATTGAATCGTCGTTTTTCCCGTCACAGAAAAAAATTGTGTATTATACACGGGATAAAATTAGATTTTAGCTTCGAGACAAAGTCTAATACATTTTTCCCTTGTATAATAAATAACTATTTTGTGACCAAACGAGCTGGATTGAAACTCATTGGCAATATTTATAACACCTGGGCGTTATATATTGCAAAAAATAGAACCAGTTAATATTTAATAAGATGAAAAACTTGAAGTGACTGTTGAAAGGAAAAATGTAAATTCAAATTATCTAGTAGTTTCTCTTTGAATGACAAAGACTGAAAAAATATTAATCGATAAGGCACTCATATTGAAATGTTCATATTACGTTGAAACAACAGTCCAAAAACATTGCATTTCTGACCCAAGCCAATAGATGGCGTTCTTCGTGAAGAGATATGTCATTGCCTTCATTTGGATGTAGTTAATTTAGTAACACAAGATTTTACTGCGAGTTCTAAACTCACCTCTTTTGCTTCCTTTTCAGAAATCGATGAATGCCCTGGAGTATAGTTTTCTATCCTACCGGGTTGGTTTTTGTAGAAATCATGTGAACTTCTGAGAATGTCCGACGATGATGATCTGAAATCAAAATTATAGTTTTTATAGTGTATCTTCAAAGGACTCAAAAACCCCCAAACATCGAGGCTCCAGAAATATTCAATTCGATTCCAGAAAACATAGCAATTCAATATTCACTTTCCAGTGCAAAATTGCAACTACTCCTCAGAACAGTTTTTTGAGCATCACTTCTGAGGGAATGTTTATTTCATTTTTAAGTACTGATTTGCTTTTAATTATCTATAATAATTGTTTTTATGTTTTTATGCCATTAAGAGAGTCATAGTTACGACCGCACCGGGGGGCCTGGGGAGCCGGTTAGGCCCCCCAGACGCACCCTGGCGTTGGATGCGATCGGGTGTGGAGGGGTGGATTTTCGGGAAATCCTTGCGGGTACCGCCCCTCACCCCACACCAACAGGATTTCGCATAACTACTCCTCAGAACAGTTTTTTGAGCATCACTTCTGAGGGAATGTTTATTTCATTTTTAAGTACTGATTTGCTTTTAATTATCTATAATAATTATTTTTATGTTTTTATGAGGTGTTTGCCATTCATTTGTTGCTGGTATAGTTATGCATTTAGTTTGACCCTTTGTTTGACTTTTTCCATACAGCATGTACTGTCTCCAGGAAATAAAATAATATCCAATTCTATTCTACAAACCTATACTTTCTCTATTGAGAGTACTTTTAGAGCACCAAAACGCTTTCTTCGTATTTTCCTCACCTTTGCGTGGAAGGCCTGGGCATGGTAGACGTGACATAAGGTACTTTTTCCTGCATCTGCGTCCTTTTCCTATCCAATGTTTGGTACTTGTAATCCGTGAAGTCGCTATCGTACGCCCCTGGTTCCGGTTCCGACAGGTAACCGGAAGTGTACGGATATTGTGCTGAAAAATTCGATAGAATTGTACTTGATAAAATATTTTGGATGATGTGTTTCGTTAAGGTTTTGTGAATGCGGAAAGCGGTTATTAGCTTCACAGTGATTATAATGTAGAAAGAATGTTCAAAACCGAAGCAGAATGTACAAAATGTGAAAAATGTTAATACTGCATGAGGACTAACATGATAGCATGAAATTGAATGAAGTAGCAATCTTTCGGAATTTAAACGCGTATACAAGGTGCTCCTTAACCTTAATGTCATGTAGATATTTAAGAAGGTGATATTCTATGATATTTTTGAGAGAAGAAGAAAACGGTATTGTGAAAAACAATTTATGGCTTTTGCATCAAGATAATTCACCTGCTCACTCGTTATTCAGTAAGTTTCTGGCCAAAAACAACATCGTAATCATGTTTCTGCCACCGTATTGAACAGATTTGCCACCCTGCGACTTTTCCCGTTCCCAAGATTGAAGAAAGAGAGAGCTGAGAGCTGAAAGAGCTCAAGAACATAAAAAAATGCATATCCGAACTGCTTCGGGAATTGAAAAAACGCTTGCACACGTAGATGACTAAGTAAGTTTTGAGAAAAGTTAAAATTCACCTTATTCTTTGAACAGAGAGCGCGTTTTTCCAACTAGAAATGTAACCCCAACAGCTACGTCGTTTTTGAAACGCAGAAATGTAGCAGGAAATATCTGTTATTTCCCATGCACATGAATAAGAGATTAAAAATGTTATAATTTTCAATCAAAATGGTTTCAAAGAAACTAATGATACTCACAGAATTCGAAACAAAGCAAAACTCTCACTTATAGCCCGAACAATAACAAGCTCAAACAAAGCAATTCTTTAGGAAATATCTTAATTACTAAATCATGCGATAACAGCGGTTCTAGATCGTTAAATTTTACCGGAAAAGGTCAAGACATATCTAATCTAATTTTTTGAAAAATTCAAATTTATGACTGTTAGCTGGGTTATGTGATACAGGGTGAAGTGAAGCTGTTGAAGCAGTTTGTTATCGAAAGCGAAACAAAATTGCGGAAGTACCTCTTTTTTGTCTATATCGAACCGTGACCAATTCGTCTGAAAAAATAAGGAAAAAATAATCATAATTTGTGTTAATTTGAAATACTGGATGTTCCAAAACTTCGCGTTCCGGAGGGGGCCAAGCAAGAGCTAAATAAATTAGTAGGGAATTTTTTTCAGTAGAATCTATATTAATTTTTTACATATTCAGCCAGGCTTGGTCGTGTTCCAGAAAAAAATATCATTTTATCTTCTGAGTTATTAGAAACTTAAATAAAGGTTTCTGTATGAACTGAGTTGCAAGATTCGAAACAAAAAGTTATAGAAAAGAAAGAAGTTTTTTTTATTCCCTAGAAGCTCTTTGAGGGCAGGTTAATTTTTATTTTCATATCTCAAGCACATCAAATAACGGAGGAATGACGATAAAAAGTTTAGGCGACACTTAAAAATAATGTTAGAAAAGCAAGATACTCTCCAAAAGAAGAACAAGAGAAATAGAAATATGCTCGAGGAAAAAAAAACAAAGCATGATAATAGGGGAATGAGAAATCTGAAAGAAATAGATCAGGAAAGCTGGAAACATGATATCAGAGGAAAAAAGAAAATGGAACTGAAACAAGCAGAATAAGAAGAAAAAAATGTATAGAAAACATGAAGTAGAAGACAGAAAGGGTAGAAAAACTCTCTGAGAAAGTGAGATTAGAAGAATTTTGAAGAAATACGTAGAAAAATAATTACAGGAGAAGCAGAGTAGAGAGCAAAGAGAAATAAAATTTGAAACTTCTAGAGAATGTCGAAATTATTACCTCAAAAAATTCTCAATCAATATTTACAGATTTATAACAGTATAAAAATACATTTCAGAATGAACTTGTTGTTATAATTAACTTTACTGTGGTATATAATACCCAGTACTCCTAAATTGATACCTTCAAGAATTTTGGAAACATCACTAAAAAAAGTATGCTGCCTACCATCAATTTATCTATAATCACTTTCTGTTCTGTTACATTTTGAGTAATTATCATATATTATTTCAAACCTTTATAATTTTGAGTCCCAAGAAGAATCAGAACACCCAGAATATTTGTGAAAAATAATAGAAATAACTTGAGGTGGTGTATAAATCCACTCTACGAAATCTTGAATTGTTGACCATAAAGCATACCTGGCACTCAACAGTCTTCGGAAATTGATCGATAAGCATATTATTCAATATATCAAGGTGACAAAGTACCCAGTTAATATTCCAACTTTTTCATTTTCCAAATTGATTTATAAACTTTTGAAGTGTGCTTCAATTAAGAAAAGTGAATCTAGAAAATCAAAAGAGATAATAGTCATCTTGCTTTTAAGATCGATGCACCCGATTGCAAATTTATCAAATCAATCAAATCAAGCAAAGCAATGAAGTCAGCCAAATCAATCGAATCAATCAAATCAGTCAAATTATTCAAATTAATAAAATCTATCGAATCAATCAAATCAAACAGATAAAGCAGATACATCGAATCGACCAACTCAATGAATTATGTAATTAGTGTAATCAGCCAAATCAATCGAATAATTCATATCAATCGAACCAATCAAATCAAGCAAAGCAATGAAATCAGCCAAATGAATGGAATCAATCAAATTATTCAAATCTATCAAATCGATCAAATCAAACAGATAAAGCAGATCAATCGAATCGACCAACTCAATGAATTATTGTAATCAGTGTAATCAGCCAAATCAATCGAATAATTCAAATCAATCAAATCAACCAAAGCAATGAAGTCAGCCAAATCAATCAAATCAATCAAATCAATCGAATCAAATTAGTTATTCAAATCAATCAAATCTATCGGATGAATTGAGTCAATCAAATAAAACAGATAAAGCAATAAATCGAATCGACCAAATAAATCAAATTATCCAAATCATTCAAATCTATGGAATCAATCGAGTCAATCAAACAGATGAAGGAGATCAATCAAATCGACCAAATCAATCAAATTGATCTTGAATTATCAATATTATTTATCAATAAATTCGATAAGACATCAATCAAATCAATCAAGTCAATCGAAATAGCCAAATCAGTGTAATCAGCCAAATCAATAGAATTATTCAAATCAATAAAATTAATCAAATTATTCAAATCAATCGAATCAATCGAGTCAATCAATGAAATCAAATAGATAAAGCAGATCAATCGTATCGACGGAATCAATCAAATTAATCTTGATTATTGATATTATTTATCAATCAAATCAACCGAATCAATCAAATCCGTGTAATCAGCCAAATCAATCGAATCAATCAAATAAATCGAATAATTCAAATCAATTAAATCAATGGAATCAATCAAACCAATAAACTTTTTACCAATTAACAATTTTCGCAATCAATTTCCTGGAGGTTGAAGAACATGCCTGATAAAAGTTTTGCCCTGATTTTCATCAGGCATATTCAAATATTCCAGAGAATCTACCAAAAAACTATACTTTGCTTTCATCGTGGAATGCAGGTCACCAATAGCTGGTATTGAGGATATACTAAGACACTGATGCTTTTCGGTAAACTATTCCATTATTTTATGATTTTATACTCACCGCTATGTGGTTTCTGCTTATGTATAGTGTCGTACATCCGTTTGTACCATTTGGATTGATTCTGGTCTTTGATTTCCTGAAAAATTGAAAATAGTAACCTCTCAATTGATTCCTTGGATGAAATTTTGGAAGCAGAATATTCAAATTGAAATTGGGAATCTTTTCAGGAGAGATTATTATTTGGGAAAGGACCAACCAACGACTCTTCGAAAAGACCAAGAATTCAATATTTTGCTTTGCTGACGATAGCACCCTTGTTTGGTCATTCCTTGACATAGACTGCTGATGCATATCTTCACCGACAGCAGGTGGTTGAATATCTTATTGAGGATCTAGAGGTGATTTAGAATTGAGGTGAGAGTAACCATGTTCAACTCAATGCCACGAAAATCCAGGCATCGGTTTTCTCCAAAAAGATAAATGTCTCTGGACCGAACAATAATGTCAGGACAGAAAATTCCGCTTTCTGCATCGAGAAGTTTTTTAGGGGTTAAAATTGACACTAATAAGTCTTGGCACAATCATGTCGCAGGGCGCAAAGGCTATTTGATTTAATCCCAGCCATAGGAATCTTGTTTGTATCTGAAATTGACTTCTTTACATGATCTACCCATCTTTGTGAATAGTTTATGCTTTGGAAAACTCCCTCACTTTTTCATATACAGATGGAGACTAGAACGTCAAAATTTGTCTCTCCCAAATAGAATAATCAGTATCCACAAAAAATTCCAACTGTTATTCCAATCCATCACGAAAATATTTTGGCAGGTGGTCTAAAGACCCTTGAAAAATGGGGATTTGGACTGTGTAGAAAGGAAGTTTTGCTTGTGGTGTCTGAATATGTTACGAAAAACAATCTGAAGACGCCATTCAAAAATAATACTCCTGGCGCTGACTGGTTTTTAAATTTCAAGAAGATGCATTACTTGTCAATCAAAAAGCTTCAGTCCGTTGAATACTCGAGCAAAATATTACTGATCCATTCGTAATAGACAACTATTTCAAACTTTTGCAGAAAACTTTAACCGACCTTCAGTTAGTTGAGTGTCCAAAACAAATCTGGAATCTAGTTCAGCAATCGATCCGTCCAGAACAAAAGTGGTTGGCGCTAAAGGTGTTGCATGTTCCCGTACTACAAGTGGCCTGGAAAAGGAAAATATAACAATCTTGTCTGCAGTTAATGCCGTCGGCGACAAAGCCCCCCCACTGATTGTCTTTAAGGGCAAAAATGTGTGGGATCAATGGATGGCAGAAAAATCAGCCGATGAACTGGATTTTGTGTACGCCGCCAGCAGTAATGGCTGGATGGAGTCAGACATACTCGTAAATTATATTACTAAAACATTCATACTGGCATTAAAAGAAGCAAGACCAGTACTATTAATCTACGACGGTCATAGTACTCATATCGATCATATGGTTGTAAAAGTTGCCCTTCAAAATGACATTACGATCTTGAAACTTCCGCCCTATACTTCTCACCTACTGCAGCCACTGGACTTAATTGTTTTCAGGTCTTTCAAAACCGCATGTGATGAAGAGTTGGTCTCTTGGCAAAGGAAAAATCAAGGAATCAAGTTGCCGAATAAAATATTTTCTGAGAAAGTTCGTAAAGTGTGGAATACTTTAAAACCAGAGATATTCCCTTCAATTCCACCGTCATTCCAAAAGAGAAATATCATCCAGAAGCGCTGAAGAGGTGGGAAAATGAAAAAGATAGAGAGTTACCGAAGATACCGAAACTGAGGGCATCACTAATGAAGAGAACAACTTAGAAGCAGATCAAGTAGCAAGGGATGAAATACAGGAGCAATTTAAACAAGAAAAAAAGGCGAGTAGCAACGGGTTATCACCCATCAAGAAGCTGAGGAAAGGATACAACAGCAGGAATCTAACAAACAAAGTCTTGAGGAAATATCAAGGCAAAGAAACAAAAAAAGGAAGCAAAAAGAAATCAGAAGTGAAAGTAGCGACGAAGGCAACTCTGAACCGTTTTGCGAGGAATCGGATTATGACCTGGACCTCCCAAGTGATGGCAGCTTTGAAGAAAACACAGCCTCGCATTTTGAAAATTTTAAGCTACATGCTTGGGTGTTGGTCNATTAAACTGAAGTTGACACTATTGCTAACGTCTTCAAAACTATTTTTGAAGCTATTCCAAAACAAAAATAATGGAGTTACCGCATCTTTCACTTTCTGCCAACCTGGCTGGAATGGTGTCGACTTGAGCTTGATCACACTGTATAAATATTAATCGAAATTATTCCCAGAAAATCTACGATCTTACCTCTAGCTTTCTGGAGCAACGTTATCGTGGGGTTCTGGGCTTTTGGAAGACGAGGGGATATGGAGAGTTCCGTGAATCCAGAAGCAGGAGACGAAAAGCTAGTTGGAATCCTTCTCTCTGAACTCGACGGGGTCAGTCCTGTGTCACTACCGTAGTCTGATGTCCTCCAGCGAGGCGCTGAAGATGGATCTTCGGAACCGAGATTCTGTATGGAAAGAATAATGGAAATTTAACGGAATCGTCATTGGAGTAATCTGTATTTCTCCAGATTCGGAAATGTAAATTGATAACGAAAATTGTGTTGGACTATATGAGGTCTGTTCAAAGAAATGAGGTGGATATTCAAATTTCGCCGGCTTTGTATATTCGATTAGCGATCTTTTTATCATTTATTCTGGTGCAGGGTACAATTTGCATCAAATTTTGTGTGGAAAATGGTATTCAGTATCTAAAAACACTTGAAATGTTGACAGTGACATACGATTATGAGTGGTACAGATTTTTCACAGAAGGTCGCTAAGATATGAATGACGCTGCTCGCCCTGACGCACCAAATCATCAACAACAGATACACATGTTGAGAAAGTGAAGAAAATTGTTATAGAAGAAATAAAAAGCAACCTTATTTTTTGAACAATAGAGGCTGAATAAGTTTCGTAGCATAATTTACGATTCTCAAAGAGTTGTCCATTAAAACAAAATTTTTTGTCACTCTTACTTACGGTAAACTAATTCTGATTCTCTCTCAATATTTTTTTCTCTACTGATAATAGTCAGTAGTTGAAATTATAAAAGAAGAGAGTTCGCTATTCAATCATTTGTGATGGACATTTTTAGTTGTCATCAGTGTTGAAATGGACGGCGCAATGGTGCAAGCTCCCAATCAGATTTGAAGTATAGATACTGAAGAGTTGTGGTCCTAGAATGGAACCTTGAAGAACACCCGGACTGATATGAAAATATTTTGGAATATTTTTGTTTGACGAAAGTCTAAGCTTGAATATGATAGACATAGCTATTTCTCAATGAGTTGTCGATGTTGAAGCTTGGCTTTGAAACAGACCTACGCGTCCTTGTTTTTCTTGAAACACCTAGACTTTAGTTTTCTGACGATTCTATAGATGTTTCTATTCAAGCAGAGACGTTCATGTATAGAACAGATGCACACCATCGTAATATTGGAAAAAACCATACCTGCAAATTACCAGACACAACAACATACGACATATTGAACGAAAGTAATTTTTTCACAATGTGACAACAAAAGATACTAGTAATGGATAAAGTTCAGGTGTAGAAGGACTTTTCAGTACGACCCGATGAATTATTGCGAAAATTCAATGTATTCTCCACGAAAAACACCTGTAATTGAGTACTCAAGAGCTAAGAGGCTAAACTATGCATCCGTCTTCAGATTTGTAAACAAATNAAATCAATAGAATTATTCAAATCAATAAAATCAATCAAATTATTCAAATCAACCGAGTCAATCAAATCAATGAAATCAAATAGATAAAGCAGATCAATCGTATCGACGGAATCAATCAAATTAATCTTGATTGTTGATATTATTTATCAGTCAAATCAACCGAATCAATCAAATCAGTGTAATCAGCCAAATCAATCGAATCAATCAAATAATTCAAATCAATTAAATCAATGGAATCAATAAAACCAATTAACTTTTTACCAATTAACAATTTTCGCAATCAATTTCCTGTAGGTTGAAGAATGTGCCTGATAAAAATCAGGGCATTTGCCCTGATACTTTTTGGTAAACTATTCAATTATTTTATGATTTTATACTCACCGCTATGTGGTTTCTGCTTATGTATAGTGTCGTACATCCGTTTGTACCATTTGGATTGATTCTGGTCTTTGATTTCCTGAAAAATTGAAAATAGTAACCTCTGAATTGATGAAATCATTTAAAATATTCCTCTATGATCTAATTTCGGGCTTATTCCTTGGATGAAATTTTGGAAGTAGAATAATCAATATATTTTCAGGAGAGATTAATATTTGGGAAACGACCAACCAACGACTTATTGAAAAGACCAAGAATTCAATATATTGCTTTGCTGACGACAGCACACTTGTCTGGTCATTCCATTTGGATTCCTTGACATCGACTGCTGATGCATATCTTCACCGTCAGCAGGTGGTTGAATATCTGATTGAGGATCTAGAGTTTATTAAGAATTGAGGTGAGAGTAACCATGTTCAACTCAATGCCTCGAAAACCCAGGCATCGGTTTTCTCCAAAAAGATAAATGTCTCTGAACTGGACAATAATGTCAGGACAGACAATTAATTCCGCTTTTTGCATCGAGAAGTTTTTTAGAGGTTAAAATTGACACCAATAAATCTTGGCACAATCATGTCGCTGGGCGCAAAGGCTATTTGATTCAATCCCAGCCATAGGAATCTTGTTTGTGTCTGAAATTGACTTCTTTACATGATCTACCCATCTTTGTAAATAGTTTATGCTTTGGAAAATTCCCTCACTTTTTTATATACAGATGGAGACTAGAACGTCAAAATTTGTCTCTCCCAAATAGAATAATCAGTATCCACAAAAAAATCTATGTGCTTACAAAGTGACCACGTATCTTGTAGGTTCAAAATAAAACTATAACGGCTAGATAAATATTCAGTTAATCAATTCAAACGTGAGCCTCTTCCTCACAAATTCTACTGGATTTTTTTCATTGATGTTCTACTTACAGATCTGAGAATCAGAGGCATTCCATCTTTGCTGACAGGACCGATTCCTTCGTATTTCCTGGGGCTTAAATCGGCCATTTTCCGGGGGTTTTCGTTTTCAGATTCGCTCGTGTATTCGTTTTTTATTTGATATACTGGAAATAACATTCGAAACATACGTCAATAATCCAAATTTAATAAGATAGACCTACTTCAAAAGTAAAGATAACCGGTGATAAATAGATAACCCTCATCTCCAATTACAATTTTTTTGTTCGATCATAAACTAGATTAAATTTTGCAGATACATTGTTTTCTAGGTAAGAGCTATTCCGGTACTGAAATTCGAGGAGGTCAATATTACCAGTTATTTTCAAAATAAAAAACGGTATGTAGGCCAGGCGTACTATATTTTTTTGGGGAAAAAATTCCTTACAGGGCAAACTCAACGGAAATGGGTTGGAAAGGTAGTCAGTAATATTGGGGCAAAAATTCAACAGCTGAATGTTTGCAGGGGCGGAGGGGTGGGGGAGAAAAGGGGTGAAAAACGGTTTTTCACGGTTTGCGGCCAAAATAATTGTTTTAGAGAAAAAATTTGATCGAGAAAGTTGTAGATAATGGAAAAATCTATAACTTTTGTATCCATATTTTTTTCACATTACGTCAAAATTTTCGAGTAAAACGCGAAAAACCACTTTTTTCGTTTTTTATTTTTCATNTAAAAATAATAAAAACAAAACATCCAAAATAAGCAAATAAAGGTTTGAAACTGAATCATTTGGAAGCAATGGAAATTAATAAACTTAAAAATTCAAAAATTCTAATGAATGACCAAATTGATTGAAATAGATCACCATTATTGAACCTGTTTTCTTAAAAACCGATGAAGCATTATTATTGATGTAGAATTGATAGTATATAATATATATAATAACCTTCAACCCCCGTCGAGTGACAGGTACAACCCCCAATTTTTCAAATGGGAAGTATAGGCTTACGATAAATCGTTTGAAAATTGGAATGTGGTTACCGAAATTCGATAAAATATTCTCAAAACTTTTATTGCAATATACTCAAAACTTATTTCATATTAAGGTATTGATAATAAGAGAGTAAGCAAAAACCATAGCAATGTTCTTTTAAGATGGTATCCTTTAAAAAAACTGTTAATAATTTCCGTGGCAACGTTAGTTTGAAACGCCTTGTCAACTTGTTTTGTATGTTACAACATTAGTTGTCAGTATTTTAATTTGAGTTTGAAGTTCGTTAACTTCAAGTCTGACAAATGGTTAGATTAATGGAAATGCAAAGAATAACAGTTTTACAAATGATTGGTTACAGAGTTAAAACCCGAGCAGCAGGAAGTAGCTCGCCTATTTCATGAGAAATTTCCTGATTTACCGCACATATCTCAAGGAACAATAAGCAAAATAGAGAAGCAGTTTTGCGAGCTTGGTCATGTGGAGCAGATAAAAAAAGCAGCCGCCAATGCATTGAGTGATGAACTCAAATTAGATGTAATGCTTGAGTTTGAGGAAATCCACATACATCGAATAGACAGGCATCCACTACATTCAGTGTTAGCCATACATCGATAGTAAACATATTGAAAGAGAATAAAATGCATTCCTATAAAATGATTCTTACTCAGGAGCTCATGGAAGATGATTCTGATAGAAACACTTATTATTGTGAGCAAATGATGGACATGTTGGATACCAATATCATCCAGTTAATAGACGTTATGTTTTCTGATGAGTGTACTTTGTCTCTGAACGGTCATGCTAATCGGCAATGGTCAACGGAAAATCCTCACCGGATGAGAGAAGAACACACGCAATACCCTCAAAAAATTAATGTTTGGGCAGGGATTTTAGAAAACCATATCATTGGCTTTTTTTTCATTGAGGAAAACGTGAAAGGCGATAATCATTTGGCACTCTACTTCAAAATGATGTTACTCCATGTTTAGCACGTTTGGATGGAGAATCATCACATTACCAACCACATTACCCACGGATAGAAAAGCCAGTCACTTGGAAAAGCAACTGTTATTCCAATCCATCACGAAAATATTTTGGCAGGTGGTCTAAAGACCCTTGAAAAATGGGGATTTGGACTGTGTAAAGAACACAACTTTTTCCTAATTTAACCTAAGCTGTATCTCCAACAGGTACTGAGATTCCCATGCTTAGGATCCTTATCTTGGACACACTGTATGGATAAAGCTGTGAATATTGTGATAAGAAATATATTGGCCGGATCAAACGAATTATCAAAACTCGTTTGAAGAATGAGCATAGAACGAATGAAAGATAAAATATTTGATACAAATTCAACGACAACCTTCAAAAATCGAAACTATTGCCATGCTAAGGTTTGACGAGGTCTTACCTTTCGACGTGAGATTCATATGTATGTTTATATATGCTTGAGTGTGTATTTTTTCTTTCTTGCAGGTACAAGAGGGAGATTGAACGAATGGTAATATTTCATTGATGATACCTGTCAGTGAATTCATTCATTATTATTACTGTCATCTCGAGAAATTACCTCAGATTTCGTTCTAGTTTTCCTTCCCAGCACCGGAGACTGGAAGTTCACCGATTTGAACTCTTTCCTTTCGACTGTTGGACTGGAACTAGCGCTTTTGGGTGCCCAAACCGGAGGAATGGAGTCATCTTGGCCAGACTTTTGGCTTTCCCTCTCTTGAAAATGCAGTTCCTGCGGCGGGTCAATCTTTTGACCTGGAGACCATATACCTGGAAGGAATCTCGGTTGATCATTTTCGTTTCGTGAAAAAATCGAAAGGTTAGTGAGAACGTTTACAAAAACAAAAACACATTCAGATGCGGATTATTCTGATGTCATCGAGATGATTGTTATANGACATGATCTACTACACATATTTGCTATGGGTGTTATCCTCGAACATTGTAAGATTATTCGCATAGCACGATTATGCATCTTTTGTAGTCTGTCTATTTCATTTTGATTGAGAAAGAACAGAATGGTAGAACAATAATTCAAATATAGAAGGATTATGGAGTTGTAGACTAATAATTTAGACCACTGGCTCATATATGGGGAACATCTTCTTGAATAGTTGATTTTGTAAGCTATTGATTTGATAACTTGATTAGCATGTTCCTTGAATTTCATGTTGCTGTCAATAGTTACACCCCAGCACACGAATTTGTTTACCTTCTCTATATTACTGTCATTCAATCGCGGAAGTAGGTTTTCATTATCATGATCTCTATGTTTTTCTAATAACATCCATTTTGTTTTATTTACGTTCACCTCCAGCAGATTTGCAAAGCAATATCTATACACCCTTTCAAGACTAGCGTTTATAGTATCAACACACTCATGTACATCTTCACTACTGAAGTACAGTAGGGGATCGTCGGCAAATAAGTGAATTCTACGTTCTTCTGCTATGATTACAATGTCATTTAAATATATAAGAAATACCAATGGTCCCAAAATAGACCTTTGGGGTACACCTATATTACTTTGCATTTTATCCGAATGAACTTCCTCTAATTTATGATCCAGTTCAGTGCTATTCCGTCAATACCCACGCTCTCGAACTTTCTTATCAGTCTGCATCTATCCACAGTTTCAAATGCCCCTTGAAGGTCAAGAAATACTGCAATAGTATACTGATCCATTTCCGCATCTTTCCTTCAATCTGTTAAAACACATGAAACGTAGTTTCATATGCATGACAACAAGTCATCATTCAATTGCTCTTCCACTTAACCTCAAAAATGTCGCCTAGTACGCAAAAAAAAGAACAAAAAACAAAAATTATCCCGAATGGATATTTATAAATTTCTAATACGAGTCGTTAGAATCGTTCGAAATTGCACAGATCTTGTAGCTGAAACTCCTCCTGAAGAAATCTTTTTGGAAGGGTGGCTGATTTTATACCTCACATTGATATGATGCACATCAGTTTTGAAATTAATTTTCTGATGTAACTAGGACGGCACTTCACTATTAATTATGTTGTGAAACAAAGTTGCAGCATGTAATACTCTTCTATCGTTCATAGAACGTAGAATTTGGTTTGCCACATTAAGTTTCGTGACAGACCATTTCAAAGAAATAGTTACAAAGTGACCAAATTCAATACAATCTTTGAAAGCCTATTTTTCCCTCTTGGAGATGGGAATCGTGCACTTCTTCCAATTCATGGGCAGTTACGCCGGCTTACTGAGGGAGCTATTCGGTAGCTTGTGACTAAATTTCGAACCCAGTTTACATTAATGGACATTAAACCACCAACACGCATACGTAGAGTGGGGACCGAAGAAAATATTGCGGCTGTATCCGCCAGTGTTCGTGATGACCGTGAAATGTC